TCGGCATCTTGTGCTTACTTCCTTGCGTACGGATGACAGCTGCGTATGAATTAATTTACTTTCTGGTGCTTTCACTTCCAGAGACAGTTGTAAGCACTGTGTAACTGCCTCGAGGGTGCTTGACCATTTTAACACAACGTGGTGCGATCATCCCCCTTGCGCGGAGTGAGGGTTCTCCACCCCGCACAACATGATCTAGTTGACCACCATTATGGTTACCGCAAAAAAAAAAAAAGAGGTAAAAAAAAAAAACGGAAACCTGGTTACCTAGTTCACGAAGTGAATTGGTTTGTTTTACAACGTCGTTGCCAAGCGAACGTCGTTGCCAAGCGACGAAAACCCAACCCCGATGGCAAACACCGGGGGGAGGGGGGGGGGGAATACGTTGGTTTTGAGGTCAGGTGTTCGATGTGCGGGCAGTAGGTGCTTTGGGATGCGAAGTTGAGGGTGAGGCTCTCGGAAAACGGCTCTCTCTTTTTTTTGCTTGTTTGTTTACCTCTTGTTCTGCCGCAAACCTCCGGCCGCGTGCACCCCTTCGTCGGGCACGAGATGTGTATGAAAGTGGCCCTTGTTGCTGCTTTCGACGTCGGTAGTGTCTTTGGTGTAGAGTGCTCAAGGCAACAGAAGGCGAGCGTCGGTGCACAGGGCGGTCGATTCGGCACTCGACCTCCCGGCCGTGCGATCTTTCGCGCGGTAAAAATGAGGCCGTTAGTTCCGCCACGCTCGATCGAGGACTCTTCGTGGAGTATAGCTTAACCTTGCCCTTGCTTGCTCAGCCCACCCCCTCGTTGTGGAGAGACCTGTTCCTTACAACCGCATCAATTTTCATCTCGCCCATGTTGCATCGGCCTCCCATTCATGACCCCCCCGCCCCCGGCCCTTCTTTCCCGTATCTCTAGTTCTCACTCATGTGTCGGCATCCTCGCCCCTCCTTCGGTGCCCCCCCCCTCCCGGCCCGGAAACTCCCCCTTATTTGCATCCTCAGTCGAGGCAAGATGGCGAAGGTAGGCCATGTGCTGGGTATCAATGACGCGGCGGCCGCGGCTGCCCTCCAGAAGGAGATGACGGTATTGACCCGCAAGCAGGACGAGGAGATCATCCGACGACAGAAGCTCGGCGGTCTTGGAAGCTGGAAGACCTCAACGAAATCGGCTGCGGGAACGGAGTCGCAGGAGTTGTCTATCACCGCCGCCGCCGACCCGCAGGGAACCCGTCGGCAATTATCGTCGTCGACCACCTCGTCTTGTTCTCAAGAGCAGGTCGTCTCCGATTCCGTCTCCGGCAAGAGCCGGCGGAGCCGAACCTTGTCTTCCGGGTGTTCGTCGCCGACTTCTTCTTCCGCCGCNGGGGGGGGGGGGGGGGGGGGGGGGGGGGGGGGGGGGGGGGGGGGGGGGGGGGCGTGGAGGAGAAGCGGTCGAGGTCATCACGGATGCGTCGACACCGCGGCGATAAGGTTCGTTCTTCCTCGTCCTCGTCGTCTTCGTCCCGGAGGGCCCACGGGGGCTCCGGCGTATCAACGTCGTCGGCACCGCGGTCCCACGCCGGTTCTCACGATCTCGCCGCCTGGGAGGAGGCGGGGGGTGCGAGAGGGGCACCGGCACCGGCGGCGGCGGCGGCGGCCGTGGTAGAGGCTCTCAAAGGCGCGGCGCCGGTGGGCGAAGCCGTGGACGAATCCGGCGGAGGGAAAAGCGGCGCTACTAGCGAGCCAGGGCGTGGTCCGTCGTCGGGCCGTAACCTTGGCCACAGCAACGGCGAACGACCAAGCAGTGGCGGCCGTGGTGATGGCGCAAGAAAGGGTAGTCCCGCCGCCGCCACCGAGCCACGATCGTCGGAGTCTGCGAGCAGGCCGGGACCTCCCGCGGACGGCGGCGATAACGCCAGTAAGCCCGGTGCGGAGCCGGACGCGACTGCTGCGGACGGAGACGGGGCTGCAGGGGGTCGTCGTGGTCAGGGCGGAGGCGGTGATGAGATTGAGGCCAAGGAGGGTAAGGAGGGGGCGGCTGGGGAAGAAGCGGGGACGCGGCCGCTGCCGCTGCCGGCGCCGCTGGTGACGAAAAGGAGCTGGGAGGATGACGACGTCGGCGACCTCTTCGAGAGCGGCGGCAACGGCAGCGACGACGCCCTGGTGGTTGCGGCGGAAGGGACGGGGGGCGTTGGTCAGGCGGCAGCGGCGGCGGGGGAAGCCCGAGAGGCGCGGAACTTGTGCGAGAACGGAGAAGGTAACAAGGCGGGTCTGGTGGGAGGTAGCCAGGCGGCAAGCCCGTCAGGAGTGCGACCGGCACGGGGCGAGGAAGGAGGCGTGCGGAGCGCCGGCGGGCACTCGTCGCTACCTCCTACGCCACCGTTGGGAAGGACGCTCGAGCTTGACGGCAGGTCGGAGAAGGACACGCCCACGTCGGTGCCCAAGTCCTCGCTGGGCATGCCCTGGGGCAGCGTTGTCTTCAGGAGCAACACCTCCGAGAGCCCCGGCGCCAACTCGATGAACTCGACGGCCGGGGTGCTGGGGTTGGGAACGAGCGGCGAGCTGCGTGACGCGGGGGATGGCAGCGTTGCAGTCGCCGACGATTTTGGGGGGGGCGGCCCTGAGGCACGAGAAGAAGAGGGGATACGTGGATGGGAAGAAGCGGGGGTGGGCGCCGCGGCGGCGGGACGCGCCGCTTTGGCGCGCATTGACAGCATCACCGAGGCTGATGATGATTCGGCGTCGAAGGCCGCTACTGGGGAGGAAGAAGAGCCGCTGCAAGCGTTGCCAGAAGGGGCGCCAACGGGAGGCGGCGGCTCCGCCGATGATGATGAAAATAGCGGCGGCGTCACGCCCCTTCCGAAAGGGGCCGATGGTGATGTGGTGGTCGAGGAGGAGGAGGAGGAGGACGGGACGACCGAGACAGTGGAAGCGTCAGCGGCGGAGACGGCGGACGTGACAGAAGATGAGGTCCGATTGACGGCCGCGTTCCACGCACACCTAACCCCGGCGCTTTGCGAGGTGAGGGAGCGGGCGGACAGACGGATCCTGTCAACACCACGGGATCATCTAGATACGACGCCCCGCCAAAGTTTTTCACGTAAATCCGTCCGGAAGCCTTTCTTGTGGTGTGCCGGCTACTGCAGCCCATTCCTTACGTTGTCGGTTATTGTTGGCGATATGTTGTCTGACATGGTTATTCAGAAGTCCTGACACTGCCCCCCCCCCCCCCCCTCCCCCCTATCCGTTCCTCGTGCCCCCGGCTTGTGCTTCTACCTTTTACCATGCCAAACCATCCTGACTGTCGTACCGGCCACGGTGCTGTTTGATTACGTCATGGGGTGTGTCTGCTGTTTTTGTCGGCGATGCTGCTGGGGTTGCGCTTACGTCATTGCCGGTGTCGTGTACTGGGCTCTCCTTGGTCGTGTCCTGGCTGGTTGAGTTTGCGAAGCTTTGGGAATCCACCGAGGACGGCTCTGCGCGACGTCAAGCTGTTCAAGAAGTATGCTTGGTGAGAGACAGAGACAGAGACAGACAGAGGCAAAGAGACAAGATACAGACAGACAGACAGACAGACAGACAGAGGCAAGAGACAAGAGACAGAGGGGGAGGGAGAGGGAGAGAGAGACACTCACACACAGAGATCGTACAACTGGAAGGGGGATTGAGGCGCAACGCATGCCTGCTGAATGGTGCTCGGGATGGTGCTCCCGCCAACGTGACCCTAGTGAGTTTTTGCTGCCACGTCTGATGTGAGTCAAACTTTAGAAGTCGTGGACACCTCGCCGTGGTTTGAGTTGTTTGGAAATCTGTCTGCTTCATTGTATGTTACCTCATGTCTTTCGATTTCGCCCCCAAATGACAACGACAGCCATCATGCTTGTTTCTCCCTACCTTTTTGGTGTTTGTGTGACCATCGATAGGCGGCCGATTTTATGTCTACGAAATCACCCCTGAGCACCACAACGATAGAAACCTTGTTTGGTTCTCCCTACCTTTGGTGTTTGTGTTATCATCTTCAGGCGCCCTATTGTATGTCTTCGAAATCGCCCCCCAAGCATGGCGGACAAAAAAAACAAACTTTTACACCCTGCTCTACCTGTTTGTTTATCTCCCTACCTTTTCGTGTTTGCGCGACCATCGTCAGGCCCTCGAGAGACTCGATGGCTGCAGCGATGGGCAGCTGACGCTCGACTTTGTGGGCGCGATCGGCAAGTCATGGTCCTCCGCGCAGGCGTCTCCTGACGCACCCACCCCCCCCACTGCCGAGTAGTTCCTCCCGCGGCGCCCCCCCTCACGACGAAGTGTGTCGTCCGTGAACATATATAGATCTCCTTGTGTTTGCGATTTTTTTCTGCTTGCCTTCTGGACGCCGTAAGCGGTGTTGCCTAGGGGTGAGTAGATGTGTGTTTTCTTGAGAGACTACGGCTTTTTTTTTTTAGTAGTGCTGCTGGGTAGCGGGTAGCGTTGCCACTCTGGGCATGCATGCCCCGGGTTAAACTTGCTTGGCATGCATGCTCCGTCGCAAGGCGACTGGGGTAATCGAAAGCGCATGAAGCCTGATGGTGGCGGCCGGGTGATGATTTGTACCCTTCGCACTACCTCGATGGATAAATGTCAGTCGGGTTTGTTTTGCCCGCTGCGGTGTGCGTGCCCCCCCCCCCCCCCCCCCC